CACCAATATTTATGATATTTATGTTGAGACTTTTCCTTTGTAATTTTGTTACAAAAGTCTCCAAAAGTCTCAAAATTTAAAAAGTCTCACAAAGTCTTTCTGTTTTGAATATAGGGTGACTTATAAAGACTCTCATAATGTTTTAATTGAATACCTTGAGACTTTTAGAGACTTATTAAAAGTCATTAAAAGTCTTAATTGAATACATGTAAACTTTTTAGAAGTCTTTAAAAGTTCTAATTGAATACACCAGAATTCTAAAAGTCTTAAAAAGTCTTTAAAAGTTGCAATTGAATACAACCCCCTTCAGCGCACCACCTTCCTGTGAAAACTCCGGTGGCAGTTGCAGGCCGCGCACCTCAGCGCCGCCCCGCTCCCCTCCTCCCCCGCCGGCATGAACTCGCAGCAGCCGTCGACGGCGTATTTCCCGAGGCCGGCGGCGTGGTTTTTCCGGCACTCCTCGTAAGTCACCACCTTGTCCTTAGACAACTTCCTCTCCTTCTGTAGATTCATTTTTTTCTTCTCCTCCTCCCCAAATTGAGTACCGGAAAAGGAAAAGCCCTTTGCTCGCAACTATATATATATATTACACACAAAATTGGCTGGCTGGATCTGGACTAGATGGGTCCGATTTTAGGGTTTATGATCTATTTGGGGGTAAAATTCGTACTGGGTATGAGGTGGCGAGGGGGGCATTATTTTGGAGCGGTTTAATTGTCTGCGTATTAGGCTCGGCTGGCAGTGTAGGCGCCGCCGACATCACCGCCGCCGCCTCCGATTGTTGGCTTTGCTGTTGGGTACCAATAATGGCTGCTTAAAAACTTGCCGTGCATTATTATGATGTTCTCTTTGTCATTTCACGGCATTTTCTGGTGTGAATTTAATGCCGTCGCGTGAAGAAAAACATGGCAGTAATGCTGTGTTCGATGGAATTATGATTAATAACGGATGCATTGAATTTGGCTTAATTGGCGGAAAAAATATCAGACTAAAAAAAAAAAAATGTTGCTGATTCAAAATTGTTAATAACCGAATTGTTACACAACAAATAAAAAAAAAAACATATAAAAATAGTCAGAATTAATTAGCACAATTGAACTAAGAACTTAGGGGGATCGGATATGATTTTATTTTATTTTTATTTTTTTTTATAAAAACAATTGTCTCTTCTGGAAAAAAAAAAGGGAGGAATGTGAAAGATTATTTTCGGAAAAAGTGAGAAAAATTTGAGATTATGAATAAACATAAGATACACACTCATATCAGAATGTGAATGAAACGATGAACAGTAGTTGAGTAGTTTTATTCACAGTAGTTGAGTATTGTGAGTAAGTATGCATGGAGTGTAATGTTGTTATGGGCATACTTCACTCTCTTACACGAGTGAGCCGCCCAAACTACTTGTACTGCCGAAACTATTCGATCTGTCCAATTTTGTTAGGCTACTGTGGTTCTTATCATAATAATATTCATTCGTATCTATTAGTATGTCTAATTGAACGGTCTAATCGTGTGATCGGCCAAAATTACTTCGAGGTGGAGTGTTGCATATTGAGCTCGTGTGCCCTACTCTTGTGGCTGATCCTGTGACCATTCGTACCTTAAGGTCGAGTTTCAACCTAACCATCTAAAGATTCTAGCTCGGCCTACCGGTGCTCCTTCAATCATGTGACATCCTCGACGACCTGACGATTACTTTACCTGTAGCGCCTTCGTTTTCTGTTCAGCCTACCTGTGCCTGACATGTGTTAGTAGAGTTATTTATTTTTAGTTGCACTCACTTTAGAGTTTTAATAATAAGTATTTGGATTGAATAATAAAGGGTATTATTTTTTATTTAATTAACAAATAAAAACCCTTGGAATTAATGGATTTGGAAGCAATTAGCATTAACACACGATGACAGATTTATTTTAATAGATTTAATAAATAAAGTATTTAAGTAATATAAATCCAAAATTAAGCTGAGATAGAACGACATCGTACCAGCTATAAGTAATTTCCTTCTCCCCGCCAACAGTCGGAAAGTTGAGACATTAATGGCGCCCGCCGGAGAACGCCAGTACTCCGATGAGCTCGTCACGCTCATTTGCAGCGAATCTAAAGGTTCGGACCCCGTCGATCTCTCTGAGATTGTAATTTCAACGCCTGAGATCGGCAGTTGGGACTTGCCGTCGATCATCTCTCACAAAGCCCTCAAAATCAAGGCCGATCCGAACAGGCAAGTGGAGTTAGCTCGGTCATGAATTCAGACAATCTAAACAGCTTAATCGAATCTTAGATAACCTAATTAGAGGTTTTGTAAAGCTGTCTTGATTTTACTTTCATGAGGAGAATCTGATCAAATGTTTGTATAATTCTATGCACAGGTTAATTGAACAGTCCTCATATTTCCGTGGACTCCTTAGTGGGAGCTTTAGGTAAATGATATATTTATGGCTTTCATAAGCTCAAGTTTTAGTTGAAGTTATTTTCAGTACAGGGCTTATCGTTTGGTGCGTTTTGTCAGTGAAGCTGGACTTAGTTCTTTATCAATACATTGGGAGCTGCGGTCATTTTTGAGTGTTTTAAGGGCTATATTTGGTTGCGAGGTGGAGATTTCACCAGATAACTTTGTTCTTCTGAATGAGGTACTGTTTTGTTTATTTAACTAAATAATGTTGTATGGATTTTATGTGTAAAAAACTTGTGCCCAGTGTTTACCAGAAGTGTTTCTTGGATAGCAATATTTGAAATGCTCTTCTTCTACTGTTTCTTTTCTTTTTTTCTTCCAAAGAATTGTACGCGATTAGAAATTTACAGTTTGGAATGGTGACATTTGGGAAGATAGTCTTTCTCTTGCAGACTGCCTTCCTCTGTTTTGTTATAGCTTATTAGTGCTTCACCTGTTCACCATCTGTGGTTATGGCCTTCCTTCTGAGTTTCTGATATTTACTCTAATATATTATCAGGCAGCATTATTCTTTGGGGTCGATATACTTCTCTCTAAATGCCAAGTTTGGTTGGATGAACTGACTTCATCCAGGGGACATCGGGAACCTCGATTATGTCTGGTCAGCTTGATTCAAATATGGAAGCATGGTCTAGAGCATGGTAAGGTTTTCCATTTATTTCTTATATGACTATGTTAAAGAGATACGCAACTCCAAAGTGTGAGCTTTACATATTTTTTTAACATAAGTCTTATAGATGGAAGTGGAAAATGTTGCAGCAAATGACTTTGTTCAAAATTCCTGTACAAGCTATCTGGCCAGGAACTTTGTAAGATTTTTTTGACTTTGATGAATATTTTGTCTGATTTTTTGCTCATTATCTCTTGCATCTGAGGATTGTTATTTTCATTATTAATTTTAATACTTAAGTAGGATTGTTCTCATGGCTTGGATATTAATTACTTTGCCAACAGAATGGACGGTTCAGTTTACTAGACTAGCAGCACGTGAAAAGTTTATATATTAAAATATTCTATAAAACAAAATCATTCATTTTTGCAGACGTGGGCAATGTCAATCAACTGTTACACTGATATTCCTGGCAAAATGCTCTGCTCCTGTATCCAGCATTCTGACTTGACTGTGGACAGGTTGAAATGGTTTCTCTTTTGTTGCTGATAATGAAAATTAACTATAACATAATTCTATTGTATTCTATTGCTTTCACAGTGAGAAGCAGCTTTGTGATGCTGTTTTAGTTTGGATAAATGCAAACGCTGCAAATTTAGAGGGCTGGAGTAGCGATGATTTATTTGACAAGGTAAGGGTTTGGCATCTGTCAGATGTGCCGCCGCATAAAATGACAAGATGTATTTATATTGCTCTGAAATCTGGAAACCTGAATAATTCGGCTTTCGATACTCCTAGGTGATTTGAAAATGTTACAGGATTTTCTTTTAGATTGTGTTGCATGTTGCAATCTGTTATGATCACTCAACATGTTATTGTAAAATGAGAATTTGATTGAAGTTAGATAGTGCTATATGCAATTAACTATCGTGCCACATGAAAATATTATGATTAAAAAAAATGACAAAGATACATAAGATGTCTCTGAATAGTAGAACGTTGGTTAGATCAAACAGAAAACCAGAAGTTGGCACACTTAGATAATTTAGGATATAGATTGATCATTGATGGTATGGTAATACAAAACTATAGGTTCCTTGGAGTAATTAATTAATGAACTCCTTTAATGAACTCCTTTTAGATTCATTGTAGCTTGAATAGAAAACCCGATGCAGAGAAAGTAGTGTGAAGTGGATAAAACAAATTCTCCATTCGCGTATTGATAAAAATTGCAAGTTCTCAAGTATAATTTTGGAACTTGTTCATTTTCTCTTGAACAGATGCGTATGTGCCTTCTGCCATTATGGTTTGCTGCTGGTATACTCTCTTTCTCGAGTCAAAGAGCCCTTAGCCTGGTTTCTGTATAGATTTGTAACTTTTTTTTTTTCTTGGGTTTATATATTTTAGGAAAACGAGGATCTCGTTTCTTTTCGAAGTTTGCTGCCGAGGCAACTCGTGATATTCTTAATCTCTCCGGACATCCTTGTACGAGTTTGGCAGATATCTTTGAAGATGGCAGCTCTAATCACCTAAAAATCCGGTTGACAAAATATTCACAGGTTTTTACAATAAACCCTTTATCTCAAAGTCAAAGCATACCTTATTGCAACTCATATAACTTTAGTTGCTGACATTGTTTGCTGGAAAAACTGTGGCATTAGGAAATATATCTGAAAATTTGATTTTAGCGTTATTTACCTTTTAGTGTTTATTGATATTGAGATAATCGGTGCATATTAAGAATCTATTAGGAGGGGCCTTTGAAGTGCTTCAGTGCTAAGGGGTGATATCCTTGCATATTGTGATCCAGCCTTTTCTCCTAACAATCAAAGGACACAGATAGTTCAGTCACTTTAGGATCACTTCAAGAAATCTAGTCTATGCGTGTCCTTTCTTCTCTAATCAAATTATTTCTTAAAATATTGTGACCTTTATCTTTCCAAGTTGAAACTTTTCTTCACATTCTGCTGCTTGTAGCGATTATTATTTTGATCTTGTGCAGAAACTGGAGATTTCTGGCTGCCCACAGCTGACAACAGGACTCTTTCTTCTTTCTTTGCTTCCTCCGCATGATGCAGATTTAATATCACGAAAGATCATGAAGTTTTCTGTTAACCAAGCAAACTGTATTGGGGACGGTTTCCAAGTCTCACAGGCCCTTGGCAAGATGTTGACTTTTGAAGCAGTGCAGGAGTTGGATATTTCAAACTGCCCATCTTTTTCCCTGGATGCAGCAATTGACTGTTTCAGCAAGTCGTTTCCATCATTACAATCACTAAGGGTGGCTCATTATTTGAATTTCAAATCAATGAAGTTATTTCGATTGGTGGAGAAGCTTCCTTTGCTATGCAATATTGACCTAACTGTGGATATTAACCCTATTATACCTGCAAAAGTATCTGTTACATCATCCTCATCTATTCTGATACCAGAAGGATCAACAAAATCATTGGATGTATATAACTGCTATTCGACTGCTTCATTTTCTTATCGATCGAGGCCCTGGGTACCAAATATTATAAGACTCATTATGGAGGGAAGAACTGACGTAAGTGGTAAGATTATCTATCTGCCCCGACACCTCACCCTCTGTCCCTATCAAAAAGAGAAGGAAAAAAAAAAGGATTGATTAAGTTAGTATGTAGGAGTAACACTCAGTGAGTTCTCATGCATTCTTTAATGGAGGTAATACTTGCTAAGATTATATAGCCCAAACAAAACGAGTGAATAAACAACTATGTTTTCAAGACTCGTGAACGGTACTCAACAGTTCTCATCTTCGATTAACATGGTGTTCAATTGAGTTTGGGGTTTTAATCCAGAAGTCATTATACCACCCACATGCAGCTTTAATTTTGATTTAGAAGCTTCCACTAATGTTGTTGGCAGGTAGCTATTAGCTTTGATCTCTTTAGATGAATGCTTGCTTGCTGATTCCAACCTGCTTGAAAATAAAGGAAGGGTTTGTCTATATTACCATCCTTGAATTATATAAACAAATGGGAAATGCTCATGCAGCTTGAAAAAAAATCATTTGCCCTTCAGAAATACACGTATTTTTGCTATACAATTATATTGAAATATCATTACTTTTGGCCCGTTTTGATATATTGTATATTTTGGCGGTATATTGTGTAGTGTTAATTTGGCAAAGCAATCAAAATTTAATTACTGTGTCATTGTGCTACAGACACGGATCTCCTTGCAATCTCACAAATCTGCTGTTCTTTAAGTTATGTTAACATTAAAGGATGCACATCATTGACGGATCACGGTATATCAGCAATGATTTCAAATTGCAAAAAGCTACAGTCAGTCTTGGCTTGTGATACTTCTTTTGGGAACAATTCAGTTCTGGCACTATGCTCCAGTAATTCTAGTGGAACACCACAACATGAAAAGCAGTCCCAGTTAATGGCTTACAGACTTCAAACTTTGCACATTGGTGGCTGCTATGGTACAATATCTTTTACTTGCACCCTTTCACTGTCTTAGTTCTCTTCCTTTCTTGATTGTTCCCTTGCCTAATTTCTTGTAATCTGTTTGATTTAATTCTTCAAAAGGTGTTATGTGGCAAGACATTCTTCAATCGTTGGAGATTCTTATCCTATCTTGACCCATGTGGAAAAATTTCCTATCTACTTAAACATGATTTATATGCAGTCCTAACTTGTTTTGCACATTATCTAGTCTTGCCGATATTGTACCTAATAAATAATGATAGAGAAATCTAACATCACTGTCTACTCGCAGAATATATTCTCCATGTTCAAGAGCCAATACATTGATATAATGTTAATAGTATCATACATGCCGCTCCTTTATTTTTCCAGGGGTAACAGGAAAGATTCTTTCTGCACTCATGTCTGGAGCAGATCATTTGAGGAGTCTTTGCTTAAGAGAAATCCAAGGTGTTGATGATGCTCTTTATATTTTTCCGGGGACTGCCTTGGAGATGCTTGACCTTTCTGACACTAAGGTGAGGATGTACCTGAAAGGACTTTAAAAAATTTCTTGATAGAAACTTTTTTTTCCAGTGTCATTCATAAATTCGGAAAAATATGGTGCGGGAGAAGAGGAAATGAAACTTGAGATTACATTCCTGTCCATTCCTTGATCATTTTCCACTAATTAAAATCAGATACCTTCTTCTATGGATCTCTGTGAGTCTTTTGAGGTACACTGAATGGCAAAGAATTATAATGAATATCAGTATATGTGGTTAGTCGGGATTGACGTTTGTCTGTATTTTTCTTGAAACTAATGTACTACTTCTATGTAATTACACATTCCAACATGCCTTTTCTTGAAGGTAACAATTCCTTTGTAATTGGGAAGTGTGATATATGTAAAATTTCAGGTCTCTGCTGCTGCTATATCTCATGTTATTCATAGAAATCCTGGCCTAAAATCCCTGAGAGTAAGAGGATGTAGGCATTTGGTACAGCAGGAAGGTGAAGATAATGAACAGAAATTGTACTCTGTACTGGGGAATTTGTGCAAATTGGAGGAGATAGAACTAGGATGGGGGTTTTCATTTTTCTCGCTTGCGGCCCTTAAACCAGCAACTAAAACTTTGCGAAGTTTATGTGTCGGTTTAGGTGGATCCTTAGCTCCTGATGGATTGAAGCAGTTAACTACGATCTGTCCAATGCTTGAGACGTTGACTCTTTATTTTCAGGTAATTTACCACTAAACAAAATGTGCCGTGCCTTTGTTACATTGTTCAATTTTAGGTTCTTATATAAATGAGTGATAATATGCAGAACAACGGGTATTCTTAGAATTCCTTGAATTATACATGTGTTCTCATTTTTTTGGGTCCTTCTGAATTCTGTTAGCCAATAGTTCTGTTGTGTTATATGCAGGCAATCTCTGATTCCGCCATAACCGACATAATAAAAAACTTACCAGACTTGCAGTCCTTGGCTATCTGCTATTGCTTTGGTGACATATCCTCATTAAGCTTTAAATTTGGGATGCCAAATTTGAAGAGCTTGAAACTTGAAAGAGTAACCCCGTGGATGACTAATGAAGATTTGGGTACTCTGGCTGAAAATTGTGCCAATTTGGTTGATCTTTCACTGATTGGGTGCACGTTTTTGGATTCTGGTGAGTACCATTGGTTTGATGAAATCAGAGTTCGTTTGCATTAGATTATTGAACTTCTTGATTTTTTTCCAAGCGGTGTGTATAAGTGCCGAGTTTCCTCCAAAAGCCTCTTGACATGAGATATATGACTTTCGAGCTGATTTTAAGGACAATCCAAAAGATAATGCAACCTTTTTCCTGCTTTCTGCATCATTTATAGGAGCACAAGACATTATATCAACTGGTTGGCCAGGATTGACATCTCTTCATCTTGAGGTTTTGCTTTTACTTATTCCCTCAGATTTATTTTGCCTTTTCTTTTTAGTCGTATCTTTATTCCATGATGATCTTTCAGTTTGACCATTTGAGCCCCTTCGTTTTATAAAACTCTGTCATTCGCGTTACAGGAATGTGGGAAAATAACTTCAGATGGCATAAGATCCCTTTTGGGCTGTTCTGCCCTTGAAGATCTCACAATACGGCACACGGTTAGTCCTACCCATTTTTTTTAACCAAAAAACATGCACATATTCATTGGAGTCCATATGCGTGCGTTGATCCAAATATACATATATGCTACCTATCGTATTCATATCTAGTTCTGATTTCACACACAATTTCAAACGGTTTTCACCATGACATTTTCAAAAGTTCAGGGTGTGTTTGTTTATAAATTTATCCAATCCATAGTCATTTCATACTCAAAATCTAACTCAACTTTAACCCAACTCCACTATCTTCGATTATTAATGTAATTAAATAATACCAAACAACCATTCTTATACATTACATCAATTTTAGTTCATTATTCACGCGCACATCACTTCACATCATCAAAATGTGAATTATTTTAATTATTTAAATATTATTTTAATATAACCTCAATGTGAATTATTTTATTTTAAATATTATTTTAATATAACCTCAAAATCCAACAAACAACTAATCATACCAACTTTTTCAAATTTTCAAATTTAACTCTGGTTAACCAAAAAAACTCAGTTTGAGCGGATATATTTGTATACAAGTACGCCCTCAGCATCCTATTCTTAGAATCATCCTTTTGTGCATTGAATATTGCAGGGCCGTGGGATTCCACAAAACTTTATCATATATGCTGCCTCCAAGGTATGTACTGCTTCATATGTTGAAACTCGTTTTACATCGTTAATTGTGCTTTCGGAAGTGTATTGAAACAAAGTATGTTCTGCTCCCATGAATAATGAATGAATGCAGTTACCTATGCTGCGGAAAATCTCACTCGATGTTTGTGATGCAAGGGAAGGCGATTTTGACCTTCCGCATGTGAGTTTTGCATTTTGAGAGTTTGGTCTACTTGCAAAAGGTGCAGATAGTATTGAAAAGCAGAAAAACACAACCTTAAGATTTTGTAATTTATAGATAGCATGAAATTATATGACACCAGATATCTCTGCAAAGAACCTGTCGGCATCTTCTAGCAAAACTTTGTTTTTCTCCATCTCGAAAAATTAAAAATTGATAGTTTATTATATTAAGTGTTCGTTAAATTGATCACCAGTTTACTTCAGTTTGCCAACAGGTACTTTCTGAGTATAGTAAAGATTGCGAGATGTAAGCTTCAGAAAAGCTCGGTAGAGGTGCGTTACATGGAGGCTCGAAAAACCCCGGTGCACAGGGAGACGCTGGTGCTTGCGTGGAACAGTGTAAAACTTGTAAGGACAGTGGTGAAGGAAAGATTTTGAATCAAACTGAATCCATTCTCAAATTGTAGATGTATTTCAAATTTGGAATTTAGTTATATCTTTATTATCGATCTCATTAATAGCTCAAACAACAGTTTTTTCTTTTCCTCTCTCTCAGTCTCTCTCGATAGACTTATATTTTAGAACACTAAATTTACAGATAGTAAACAACAAGAACAGCTGTGTCAATTAGCTAATAAGAGCATCCACAATACATAGGGTCTGTTGAAAAAAATAGTACATGTCAAGTAGAAATTAGGCTTGGTCTATCAAAAAATGTCTACCAATGCTATTAAATTTGGACATCGTCTAGCTCATGTGGCAATAAAAAAAATAGACCAAGTCCACCTTTAGGTCTATTTTGGACTCAAGCACAAACCTGATTAATCTTCAATCATTCACAATTTTCTTTTTTTTTTAATAGTCTAGACCTCGTATTTTGTTTTTGCATTCGAAAGTTTTTGGGTATTTTTACTTGGGTTTGTCCATATCATTTAAGAACCAACTCCAATTATATGCCACATACACAACAAGAGAACCAAAGCATTGTAGGTGTTCTAAGTTGAATCTAGACGGTCTACTCAGAGGTAGCCTAGAATCGATAACACAAAATAGACAACACAAAATAGAAACTATAAAATTCCCGCATGTGAGAATAGAGAACTCCAATAATTGATAAAAACAAATTAAACAAACACAATGCAAATATACATAGAAAACTCCAATAATTGATAAAAACAAATTAAACAAACACAATACAAATATACAAGTTCGTAGAATAATTTTTTCTCTCTTCAACAAATTACTATCACTAGGGTTGTAAACAAGTTGAGCCGATCTCGAATTTTAACAAGCCGAACAAAGTTATATAAAAACTCTTTTCGAGCTTTATCGAGTCGCATGTTAACTAAATGAACTATAAATGAGCTCAAGTTCGACTCGTTAAGGCCTTCAGTTTGAGCCGAGTCGAGCCAGACTCGTTTAATTTAACAACACTAACCATCACCCAGTTGGGCTTGGGGCACCCAGTTGGGCTTGGGCTTCTCGCATCCGTTTATGGGAGTTTGCTTCCCACGTACTCGTTTATGGGAGTCTACTTCTAGTAGGCTTGGGGCACCCAGTTGGGCTTGAGCTTCCGAAGGATTCACAAGTGAAGGGGCGTGTTAGAATATCACTTGTGAGTTGTCCCACATCGTTCATACATGGAAAATAGACCCACCTTATAAGTCTAATGGAACACTCCTTCTTCCACCAATTGGTTTTGGGATGAAACCCCACTTGGGCTTCATATGGGCTTTTTCCCGCTTTTGTGCGCTTCATGTTAGTGGGCCCGCACCCGTTTTTTCATCAGTTTCTTACACAACCAATCATTCTTACACATATCATCAACTTATATCACTATTCAGCAACTCATATAATTTTAACTAACTAGCACTTCACATAATTTTTCTCATACTTTTACATTAGATCCACTTTAATTGTTTTATTTTAGATATTATTTTGATATCACATCAGAATTTTACTAACAACTATTTATCTATTTTTTTTAAATTAATCTTGATTAATCGAAAAACTCATTTTTAGCATATTTATTTGTAAACAAGCAGGATGTGCTTTTATATGAACAAACTCAATTCATACTTAAAATCTAACTCAACTTCAACTCAACCATATTATCTTCAATATTATCAATATAATTAAATAATATCTCATTTTTACACATTATATCAACTTTAATTAACTATTCATCCATTTATATATTTTAACTAATTATCACTTCATATTATCTCTCTCATGCTTTTAAATCAAATCAACTTTAATTATTTTATTTTAAATATTATTTTAATATAAAATTAAAATCACATTAACAATTAACCCTATCACAATTTTCAAAATCTATTATTATATAAAGAGACAACCTAAAAAATTCAAAATAGTAACTAAAAAATCATCTAAATTCCCGCCTAAATATATTACTATACATAGTAAATTATTTTGAAATTTTTCAAAAGTTCCGCCCAAACA